CCTCCAGCAGAGTGTCTGACATACTAAATTCTCAGTGGAACAGGAAAGTGCTGAGAGGGCACCTGAAGCGTATGGGAGCTCAGCATCGGGCAGGCGAGAGCAGGTAGGTGGCCTGTCAGGTGGCTTATTCAGTAAAAGGCTCCCCATTCAGAGGTGTCCAGACACAGAGGCCACTGTCTGTCTGTCGGTCTTGCAGAGCAAGTGCTAATGGCATGTAACCGCAGACCCCTGCTCCGACTGAGGTAGCACCTTTCCTGCGCAGCAGCCCAGAGCGAGCACCAGCCCTCCAGACCTGTTCCTCATCTCATAGCTTGTTCAGTGTCCATCTTTTGGCCTTGTCTGCCCATCACTTTTGGCCCCGGGAACCTTCGCCAGCCTGCCTGTTTGCCATCGTCATCAGGTGATGCTCCCAGGAGCCTGACTGCGTGTGAGGACCCTATCAAGCGGCAGTTTATGCTGCGCGGTCCCTCTGAAACCAGACCTCGATGCAGTGTCTGCAACCCCTCCTGCCGGGACGCTGCTTTCAGCCCCACAGCGACGCGCTCTCAGTCCTGCTGGTGCCAAACACAGAGGAAAATCCTGGCTTGGACCTCCTCCCTCATTTCCTGCTGGTGTAGGCTGAGTGCCCGCCCTCCTCTCCCCTCCCCACCAAAGGGCTGCTCTGGACAGGTTTCTTTTTTTTAATTTTTCATGATTTAGACATTTTCAATCTTTTAAAAAAAGGTATCTCTTTTTAATTTTTTAAATTTATTTTTTAATGGCAGTACTGGGAATTGAACCCAGAACCTCATGCATGCTAAGCATGCGCTCTACAGAGTCATGCTCCCCACTTCCCCCAGAGAGTTCTGTTCTTCTGCAGTTTTTTAAAGCGCCCGTTCCGTGCCCAGCACAGGGCTGGTGGCCTTCCTGTGCTTTTGGGAGAAAATGTTTTCTCAGCCGGAACACCTCGTGGCATTTGGAAGAAGCAACTCTGCCTTTTTCTTCTTCCCTTTCTTTTTTCCTATCTTACTTTTTGCTTCATTTCCCCCAAATATTAAAGGATTATATTATGTGAAAATGTAGGCAACAGAAAAAGTTTAGAAAGAAGAGAAAAACGGCCTGTGGTCGCGCAGCACACAGACGCCCACGGAGAGTGCCAATGCCCCCTTCGTGCTGGTGGGCGTGGTACCAGACACCGTCTGTCGGGGGGGACTTGCTGGACACTCCCCTTGTGCCCTGCCATATCGTAGGTGCTGGAAATAAAGTGGCATAAACACGGCCCGGGTCCCTGCCTTCATGGAGCTCACAATGATGAGCAGATCGATAAACAGGTGATACGACTTCAAGGGGCAACAGTGCAGCGGGCAGGAGAGACCAGCGGGTGCCCAAGGCGGCTGCTTCTGCTCGGAGCTCAGGGAGGTCCCGTCGGATGTGGTGACTCTGGAGCAGGAGCCTGAAGGGAGTGAGGGAGGAGCAGAGGGACAATCCAACCCGGGATGGGCTCTGAGCGGGGCAGGAGGAGCCCCGCGGCGGGACAGGCTCGCTGGGGAGAGGACCACGGAGGCCGGGAGGGCGCTGAGCCCAGGCGGCAGCTCCAGGCATGCGGGGTCTGGCCAGGCACGGACAGCGGAGGGGCTGGTGCCAAGTGTGGGATACACAGTAGGGCCTTTGTGGTTATGTGCTGCCTTTTCACCGCCAAGTTTTTAGGGCACGTGGTAGGCGCTCAGCTCCTGTGTCTGGGATGACGTGACCCTCTGTGTATTTGCGAGGTGGTGTCATGGAGCAGAGGTGCACAGGCTGGGATTCAGGCCGACCCCATTCATGCCCCAACTGTCCCTTAGCCGCCTTGGTCAGGGGAGCACTGTGACACCTGGCAGCGCCTGTAGCTGCGGGCATGGCGGTACCTGAACCAGGACAAGGGCCCCAGCCCTGGTTCTGTACCAAGAACAGAACCTTTAGAGCCATGGAGGGTGCACGGAGGCTGTGGTGGCTGCCCTCAGTGACCTCACGTGTCTGAGAGACACGGGCTTCTGGGGGGGTCACTGCCCGTGGCTTCTCCCAGTGACCAGTACCGTCTAACTGGCACCTGTGGGGCCAGCCAGCTTTATTTGTGGTTTTGAATAAGGTTAGTATGTTTCTTAGGTGACTTCAGTCTGCACTCTCTACCCCGGGGACGCATCCGGGAAGCGGGGGTTCACTGTGGGCTGCCTGCTGTCTCCAGGCTCTGAGGGACGAGGGCCACGTGGGGTCTCTGGGCTGGGTAGCTCAGGGCACATAGGGCTCCCTGGACGAGAGGGCTCAGCCCGAGTTCTCCAGGGAAAGGTGATGGGTGGGGGCTTCAGGCAGGTGGAGCAGCAAGGGCAGAAGTTCAGGGGCAAGAGAGAGCACGTGTGTCCTCAGAAACCAAAGATGAGAGCAGAGGGAGGGGGCGGGCAGGGCCAGGGCAGAGAGATCTCATCCCTCACACCAGGGGGTGTGGGCCCGTCATCTCGGCGGTTACAGGAGACCACTGACTATTAAACAGAGGGAGTGAGAAAAACCGGAGGCCTCGGAGGGTCTTACCTGGCTTCAGATTCCAGAATCACCTGCTGTTAGCAGTAGGGTCTCATGAACTCTCTGAACAACCACTTCTCAAAAAGATGAGTTGCAGTCCACCCCGCCTGGCCTTCCTCACGGGGCTGCTGGAGAATTAAACGAGCTAAGGGACCCGAGAACACTCTAACTGCCGAGGGCCCATCTGTTACGGTCACTGTGGGAGGTGACAGTAACACAAGGGAGCAGGAGTGTCACAAGACGCAGACGGAAGGAGTGTGAAGGAAGCGTGAGGAGGGGAGAGAGGGATACAGGCGCAGGTTAGGTGGCCTGAAGCCCTGACCTGGGGAGTTCTCAGACCAAAAGTCAGAAGGTCTGGCCTCTGGATTCTTTTCTGTCTGAGCGCCGCGCCTCTCCGGTATAATACGAGGATGGACCGTTAGGACTTTTGGAGCCAAAGGGGCCTCTCTGTGGACAGCTTGCCTCCTCCCTGCCTCCACGTCAGCTGGGTGGGTTTGTCTGAGACTGAAACAAGGACGCAGCAGCCAGGCTGGAGCGGGGGAGGCTGCCGAGTGTTCTGTCAGCACTTCCAGGCTCTGCCCGGGGACAGTGCAAGGGGTACACCAGTGCCCCTGGCGGGCCTGCGGAGACCGGGCGCTGCGCTGGCACGGAGGGGCTCGTCCTCGCTCTCCAGAGGTGGTGGGTTTAGCGGGGAGACGTGGGCAGAGACGGGCTGTAACACAGGCCCGGGCAGAGGGCCCTGCAGGGGCTCTGGGTACAGGGAACCCCCTCCCTTAAGCAGGGCTCCCCCAGCTGGGGCGCTCCTGGGGAGTTCCTTGAATGTTGGGAGGGAGAAAGCATAACCTGCTAGGAACAGTTTTTACCCAGAAAGTGGTGGGGGGACCCGGGGGGGGGGAGAAAGCTGGACGGGGGCGGGGGGAGAGCAGGGAAAAGGCGGGACCAGTGAGGCCAGTGCGCTGGCCCACAGCCCAGGGCCCGTCGGCGTTTGCCCGGCGAGTGGTGCGGGAGGGCTCGTGGAGCCCGTGGAGGGGCTGGGGTCTTGCTGGGAAGCTGCCCTTCAGCGTGAAGAGAGCCCACAGCGTGCCTGGGTCCGACAGCCTTCCGGTCAGGGTTCTGGGACGCTTGAGGTGGGCAGGACCACAGAACTCGGAGCCTGATTTAGAGAATAATTTGCAGAGTCCTGTGGGTTAAGTTTTCCCATTAAGCTCTCTGTGCTGCTGATAATTTATCTGGAAGATGTGTTAGAGCATTTGGGGAAAACGCAGTACCCATCTCAGGGGATAATGACGCCGTGAAGCCATATTATTTCCACTGTGAGAACAATTTTAAGCCTGTGCTAATAGATTAAACTACTAGAGTGATCATTTTGAACAAAGAAAACGGCTGAGAGCTGTACAGCCAGCCATAAGCTGATTGGGGTGCATAAAGAGTAATAATTTAGCCCTTTTGATCTGTGGCACGTAATCTCTTCAGTCGCTGCCACATGACACCAGCTGAGGACAGTCCCTGGACTTGAGTTCACCCCGACCAACGCTCACGTTCCACCTCGCCACCCAGACCCCCTTGGAAAGGCCTGTCTCTCTGACATCCCTCCCCACGTCCGAGGGCTCTCTTGTACCCCAGCTCAGCAACTCCAGGCCCCTTTGCCTTCCCCCTGGGCTGGCTTTCTGACCCTTCAGTCATTTTCGCAGCTCTTAGGGTCTCAGCTCTTTCTAAATCTTCCCCACCTTACTTCTGCGATTTCTCCTCTCGAGATCAAAGGCAGTTGTAAAACAGAACAGAACCCAGAGTCAGGGACCTGGGGCTCTGGTGCCAGCTGGAGTGTGGCCTTGTCTGGAATCTGCCTTGGAGCTGCAGAGAAAGGCCAGCCCAGCAGGCTCCCTCCGCTGACAGATGCTCTGAGACTCTTCCGCCCAGCCCTGGGGCAGCGAGTTTCTATCAGCAGGCCCCCCTCTGAAAGTCTGAGGCAGCAGCGTTGACGGAGAACCCCTGGGGAAAAGCAGTCTTACGAGGGCATCCGTGCCTGCCTAGTGTGGTGCTGACCTTCACACGGAGAGCTGAGCTCCCAGCGGGTGCGGGGAGACAGGTAACCCCACGTAAAGTAGTCCCCACTCACCACCCAGTGCGCCGGCTGTGGATTTCCAGGAGCACCCCCCGCTTCTCCCCCAACCCACAACACGGTTGTGGGGAGGCAGCTTGGTGTCAGGAGAAGAGCCTGGGCCTTGGGGGTAAACTTGAGCCCCGTTAGCCACCGCGGGGGCCCCTGGCCTTGCAGCTTTGCAGTCGTGAGCTTCACTCCCCTCCTCCACGAGCCGGGTGAGAGCAGCCGGAGCGCGGCTGAGATGCCTGTGCAGCGAGGACGGGCTCCTGGATCGGATGAGGCGCTTTGTAAGCAGTAACTGTGACTCTGCTGTCGCGGTCAGGCCTGGAGGTGGGGCCCGTGTGACCTCTCTCTCGCCCTCCCACAGGTCACCGACGAGGAGCCCAGCTCCAACCACACGGTCATGATCCAGGAGACCCTCCAGCAGGCCTCCGTGGGGCTGGCCGAGCAGCATCACCTGGTGGTGTCGTCCGACGACGTGGAGGGCATCGAGACGGTAACGGTCTACACACAGGGCGGGGAGGCCTCGGAGTTCATCGTCTACGTGCAGGAGGCCGTGCAGCCCGTGGGGGAGCCGGCCGTGGGGCCGCCAGTCCAGGAGCCGTAGAGGACACGCGGCGGGAGACGAAGCCACAGGTGGGGCTGCCAGGCTCCGCAGGGCAGCCGGGACACCCAGGGCGGGGAGGCCACCGAGCGGTGCTCTCCGTGGTGCTCTCCTCTGCGCGCCCCACCCCGGCTGCCGGATGGGGCTCTCCTTGTCCTGCTTTGGGTGGGCAAGGCCATCGGCATCACCAGCAATACAGGATCCCCACCCCCACCAGACACACACCCGCTTCCCCCGTATCATCTGCTTCCAGGAAGACTTCTGCATCAGCTCCCCAGACATGGCCCACACTGTGTAGCCCTTTTGCCTCACATTCGAACGGAGGCCCCCAGGTCCCCGACAGCATCGTCCCTGAATCACGGCCCCAGCTCCCTGACCCCCATCTAGGTGCCGAACCTTCGTCTGGGACTGCCCTGCAGCCCGGTGCACGGGAGACAGCCATCAGAGAAAGTGACCTTACGGTTCTGAATCACCGATGAGAGAAAAGAGGGGAGGGGTTAGCTACAGAGGTCTCCCCCTCAGGCATCAGAGGCACTTGTCCAGGATCATGTGAAGTAACCACGACTTGATGATCTGCCCACTCCCATCACAGGTGGGGGCTCGGCTTACTGTCTTGGAATTCTTTTGCTTTTTAAATAAATGCACTTTTTACTGTTCACCTCCCACTCTAAGGCGGCGAGGTGGGTAGAATAAAAACACTCTCTGCCTGAGTACTTCCGCTCCTCCGTTAGCTTTCCTGAATCGAAATCTTGGATTTGGGCTCCACCCCGAACCACCCTACCTGAGACCCCGGCCCTTAAAATGCAGTGATGATGCTCATTCTCCGTCTAGAGCGTGAGCCTTGCTTTGGGCCACTGTTTGAGGTGAGTGGTCTTACCCTCTGTCCCCCTGCACCTGGCATTTGATTTGCTGCATCTGAGACGTGGCGGCAGCCCCTTCCACCTTAGGAGGAGCAGGGAGCTGGCAGTCAGAAGCCTTCCAGATGCTCTCCTGTTTGACTGAGGTTTCAGTCCAGGTGCTCGTGATAAATCCCGTACCTCTCTGCGCCTCTGCTCTCTGACAGCTCTATGGGGGCGTCGAGGCGAGTCCTGCTGCGCCCTGTCCGGCCCCGGGATCTCTCAACATCATCACCTACCATCCCACTCGAGGTCAAGATTTTTTTCTATCAAATGAAATTTTATTTAATTTACAGTGATTCTAACCAGTTGTTTGAATAAACCATCATTTTAAGGTGTAAAATACCAAACGATTGCCCCATGGTTTTAGAATTTCACATTTCTAGACTAGACAATGAAATAACCTATATTACCTGGGGTGGCTCACAAAACTGTTCATCTAAAACAAATTTCTTGATGCTATTCGGGCACTGGAACACTGGCAAAACTTTTTATTCAGAAACCGATGAAGAAAAAGCTTGAGAATTACTTTTAATCCTACAATGGTTTGCTGTCTTTTGTTTGCAAGGAAGACATTATTGACCTGTTTTTAGTAAAGCATGAAGTTTGAGTTATTTTTCTAGTAAAGGTGATGGATTGTTACCAGTCTTGGTAAGGGTAAATAGTACAACAAAGTGATGGATTTTTTTCTCTTGGTGTTAAAAAGCCTGTATGTCATGAGTTTGTTTTTCAACGTGTAATTGACCTGTGACCCTTCATTAGTTCCACGTGCACAGCGTAGTGATTGAATATTTTTATACATTACAAAGTGATCACCACAGTAAGTCTAATTATTACCTGTCATCATACAGTCACCCCATAGTTGTTGACTGCATCCCCATCCTGTACATTTCATCCCCTGACTCAGGTGTTTTGCTGCTGGAAGTTTGTACCTCTTAATCTCCCTCACTTGTTTCACTCATCCCTCTACCCGACTCCCCTTTGGCAACCACTGGTTTGTTTTCTGTATCTGTGACTCTGTTTCTATTTTGTTATGATTGTTCATTTGTTTTGTTTTTTAGATTCTGCATACAAGTGAAATCATATGTTATTTGTCTTTCTCTGTCTGACTTACTGCACTTAGCATAATATCCTCTGTGTCCATCTGTGTTGTCACAAATGGAAAGATTTCATTCTTTTTTATGGCTGAGTAATGTTCTATTGCGTATGAGTGTATATATGTGTATACACATATATATAATCACATCTTCTTTATCCAGTCATCTATAGATGGGCAGCACTTAGGTTGCTGCCATATGTTGGCATATGCTGGCATATTGTCATATATGAATAATGCTGCTATGAACATCAGGGTGCATGTATCTTTTTGAATTAGTGTTTTTATTTTTGCTTTGTTTTTCTGAAAAATACCTAGAAGGGGAATTGCTGGATTATATGGTGGTTCTATTTTTAATTTGGGGGGAACCAGGATACAGTTTTCCATATTGGCTGCACCAATTTACATTCCCACCAACAGTGCACAAGGGGTCCCTTTTCTCCACATCCTCACCAATACTTGTTATTTTTTGGCTTTTTGATAATAGCCATTCTGACAGGTTTGAGGCAATATCCCGGTGGTTTTTGTTTGCATTTCTCTGATGATTAGTGATGTTGAGCACCTTTTCACATATCTGTTGGCCATCTGTATGTCTTTTTTGGAAAAATGCCTATTCAGATCCTCAGCCCATTTTTTAATTGCATTGTTTATTTTTTTGATGTTGAGTTGTATGAGTTCTTTGTATATTTTGGATATTAACTCCTTATCTGGTATATTGTTTGCAAATATTTTCTCCCATTCAGTAGCTGGCCTTTTCATTTTGTTGACGATTTCCTTTGCTGTGCAAAAGCTTTTTAGTTTGATGTATTCCCATGTGTTTATTTTTTAATTTGTTTCCCTTGTCTGAGAAGACGTATCAAAAAAAATATTGCTATGACTGATGTCAAAGAGTGTACTGCTTATATTTTCTTCTGGGGATTTTATGGTTTCAGGTCTTACATTTAAGTTTTTAATCCACTTTGATTTTATTTTTGTATATGGTGTGAGCAAATGTTCCAATTTTATTCTTTTACATATAACTGTACAGTTTTCCCAGCACCATTTATTGGAGAGATTTCTTTTCCGCATTGTATATTCTTGCCTCCTTTGTCACAGATTAATTGACCATGCAAGTTAGGTTTATTTCTGGGTTCTCTATTCTGTTCCATTGATCTACATGTCTAGTTTTGTGCCAGTACCTTACTGTTTTGATTACTGAAGCTTTGTAGTATAGTTTGCAATCAGGAAGTGTGATACCTCCAGCTTTGTTGTTCTTTCTCAAGATTATTTTGGCTATTTGGGGTCTTTGTATTTCCACACAAATTTTAGAATTGTTTGTTCTAGATTGTGAAAATGCCATTGGTATTTCAATGGGGATTGCATTGAATCTGTATATTGCCTTGGGTTATATGGTCATTTTAACAATATTAATTGTTCCAGTCCATGAACATGGAATATATTTCCACCTGTTTGTATTGTCTTCAGACTCTTTCATAATCATCTTATAGTTTTTCAACTACAGGACTTTTACCTCCTTGATTAGATTTATTCCTATGTATTTTATTCTTTTTAGTGTAGTTGTAAGTAGAATTGTTTTCTTAATTTCTCTTTTCCCATAGTTCATTGTTAGTGTATAGAAATGCAACAGATTTCTACATATTAATTTTGTATCCTGCAACTTTACTGAATTCATTTATTAGTTCTATCAGATTTTTGGTTGCATCTTTAGGGTTTTCTGTATATAGTATCATGTCATTTGCAAACAGTGACAGTTTTACTTCTTTCTTTCCAATTTGGATTCTTTTTCTTTTTCTTATTAGATTGCTGTTGCTAGAGCTTCTAATACTATGTTGACTAAAAGTGTTGAGAGTGTGTGTGTATCCTTGTCTTGTTCCTGATCTTAGAGGAAATGCTTTCTTTCAGCCTTTCACCATTGAGTATGATGTTGGCTGTCAGATTTTCATATGTGGCCTTTATTTATATTGAGGTATGATCCCTCTATACCCACTTTGTTGAGAGTCTTCATCATGAACAGATACTGAATTTTGTCAAAAGCTTCTCCTGCATCTGTTGAGACAATCATGATTTTTACTTTTCAGTTTGTTAATGTGACACATCACATTGATTGATTTGCAGATATTGAAATATCTTTGCATCCCTGGAAAAAAAATCCCACTTGATCATGGTGTATGATCCTTTTAATGTATTGTTGAATTTGGTTTGCTAATTCTTAGTTGAGGATTTTTGCATCTATGCTCATCAGTGATATTGTCCTGTAATTTTCTTTTTTTGTGGTGTCTTTGTCTGGTTTTGGTACCAAGGTGATGTTGGCCTTGCAGAATGAATTCAGAAATATTCCTTTCTGTTCAGTTTTTGGAATAGTTTCAGAAGGATAGGCGTTAACTCTTTTCCAAGCATTTGGTAGAATTCACCTGTGAAGCCATCTGGTCTTGGACTTCTGTTTGTTGGGAGATTTTTATTACTGATTCAATTTCATTACTGGTAATTGGCCTATTCATATCTTTTAATTCTTTCTGATTCAGCCTCAGGAGATTGTACATTTCTAGGAATTTATCCATTTCTTCTAGGTTGTACTTTTTTTGGTGTGTCATTGTTCATAGTAATTTCTTGTGATCCTTTGTATTTCTCTGTTGTTGGTTATAGCTTCTCATTGAGGTCAAGATTTGTTTCACCCAGAACCCTTTCTTCAAATGAAGTCTCATGCAGGTATGTAAGCAGGTGTACAGACAGGCGAAGTGGTGGTTGCTCTGGATGAAGAGGGTGGAGTCCATAGCTCCATGCACTGTCACCACCCTCTAACCCCAGCCAGGTCTGATGGAACCTCTTGGAAAAAGCTGAGAAGCTGCTGCTCTAATACAAGGAGGAAAGTGCTTTTCCTAAACCAGGATGGCAAGAAGTGCAGCAGGAGTTCAGAGGAAGCAAGGATACTTCTCACTTGGGATGAGTTAGGGAAAGCTTCATGGTGGAGGTGGCCTGTGACCAGCAACCTGGTGAGTTTTATTGATGGAGAATATTAGCACAGAGACGTTAAGAAACCTGCTGAGTTCACACAGGAAGTAGTGGAGCCAGAACTTGAGCCCAAGGAAGATCTGCATTCACAACTAAAGTGCACTCTGTGAACTCCTCTCTGAGAAAACGGAGGATTGATAAGCAACCTTTCTTGGGTGACACTTGAAACCAGAGAGTGATGTGTCTGGGATGAGAATCCAGTCTGAGGGGCCCGTCTCATCACCTGCTTTTTGTGCTCCCTGGGCCATGATGCCTCCCTATTATCTTTCCGCCCTGACACCAGAGAGCAGGGCAAGCGTAGAAGTAGGGGGAAGGTCTACTTCCAGGGGCAGGAACAGGTTAGAGGCAGGATGCCAAGATCTGCCACGTGGAGTGAAAGTGCTGGGACCCTGTGGCTGTGAGCCCAGAACAAGTGTGAGCAGGAGACCCAGGGCCAAGCAGGGAATGGGGACCAGCCAGGACGGGCCTGCGATGCTCGGGGCTGGGGAGGAGTCCGAGGGCAGCGCTGGGTGGCCTGGCCTTTGAAGACCCCTGGCTCTGTTCCCCAGGTGCCCCTTCAGTCCGTGTTATGTGCCAGCAGCCCTAATGCCAGCCCTGCACCTGGGCGGCCTTTCCCGCTGCCGTGTGGACTCGCTTCCCGGGCTGTGGTCTGTTAAAGCAGGGGGTGAAGGCAGATTCAGAACAGGGAGCGGAAGCTCAGGCTGGACAGCCC